ACCTCCTGCGACGGAGGACGATTTCGAAGGTGACGATGCTCCGATTCCGAGTCCTAGAGGACTCACTGCGCTCGCACCCAAAACTAGAGGTGAGATTAAGGGTGAATAAGGTGGTGAGCCTCCTGCTGAACTACTCCCCGCATTGCTTATACTCCCACTTCCACTGATACTCCCACCACCAATACTGGGGTTATTCAAAGCATCCAAACAATTAAACAACAAATGCGGAGGCTCTTCACCTCCGTAACCCTTAGCTCCTGTGAACGAAGATAGAGGTAGAGTGGATGTAGGTGTGGATGATAGGATGTCGGTGTATGAGAGGAAGGAGAGACGTTTCGAAGTGGTGGAGGTGGAGGTGGTGGTGGTGGTGGTGGAAGAGGGTGAGGTAGAGGAGGAGGTGGAGGAAGGTTGACGGAGTTGATGGTGGTGGTGATGGGATTGAGGATGGAGTTTGGGTGAGGCGGGTTGGGAAGTCGTAACAGAGGTAGCGGTGGTAGGCGTGATCGGTGGTGCGGCAGTAGTAATACCAGTAGTCGTACCTGGTGCAGCAGCAGTGGTGGTGGTAGTACTGGTCACGTCATTATCCTTGTCGCCGTTGACGTCTCCATCCCCATCAGGCGTTCCAGACCGACTGTTCCCATCCCCACCACTTTCAGAAGCCAAAGAGAAATAAGCCGAAGTAGGCGTAGCGCTGACGATTGATTCGGTGTGAGGTGTCATGGGACTTGACGTCGACACCGAGTTGATCCGTTCCAACGGAGGAGGAGCGACGACGTGCCCGTGTCCTTGCGTAAACCCTTGTGTGGCCGTGGCCGTAGCCGTGGCCCTGGAAGTGGAACCGGTAGCAGTGGAAGCAGAAGGAGGAGGTAAAGCCGTATCGGGAGAACTCGAACTCGTGTTCGTAGGAGAGACGAGTGTGGAAGTTGAGATCTTGGGTGTAGGTCGAGTGTTGGTGGTTGAAGAAGTCGACGTTCCCGGTACCACCACCGCTTCCACCAGCACCGCTCAAAAGTAAACTCCCCCCTCCTGCGTTTCTAGTCATACTAGCACCAGGAGAAGGACTCCTACTACTCCCCGCTCTCCCTCCTCCTCTCCCTCCTCCCATCGTAGGCACGAATCCAACCATAGTCCCATGAGACGAACTAGGAGAACTATACCCCGGCGACACGGAGAACGGACTCCTACCTCCAACAAACGGTACCGGCGCTTCCACTTCGATTCTGTCTCCCTCAGGTCCGGAAGTGTCCTGTAACCCAGCTAGGATTTCAGCTGCGGAATCTAAGACGGAAGGTACGGATTGTTCTATAGCGGCTGTTGCTTGGGCGCGTGGGATTCTATGAGGATTCGTCGTCGTTGTCGTCGTCGTCGTTGTGTGAGAACCGATAGATGAGGAAGAAGTTGGGTTAGATTGAGGTGAAACGGCGGCTGTTGTCCCTGTCGCTGTCACTGTGGACGCTGTGGAAGGTTGGAGTTGATGAGAGGACGAAGGGGATTGTTGTTGGGGATGTAAATGGGTGGTATGAGAGTGATGAGGATGAATGAGAGGTGATATCGACACGAGAGGTTCGATATCTCGTTCGAAAATCGCAGAAGACGAGGAGTGTCTGTACACACACACAGAGCATATGAGAAAAAAATTTTAGCACTCTTTCAGTCAAAAAAAAAAAAACAACAGAACAAGAGAGAGAAACAGCTTTGGCACTTACACAGAAGTAGGACTGCTAGGTATACTCGACGGACTCTTACTCCCCATCCTACCCCCCGTCCCAGTCTGCAAATGCGCCGAGACACGTCTACTGCCTGGAGCACCACCACCACCACCACCGGCGTTATGATGGTGATGTTGGGTACGAGCCTCAGTGATACCACCAAGAGACGTCATATGCCTTAGGTCAGGCGGAGTCGTCGTGTGTTGGACGATGAGAGGCGTGGGACCCGACGTTGTCGTCGTTCCCGTCGTCGTCGTCGTGGTAGGCGATGACGCAGCGGACGATTTGGGCGGGAGCTAGGTTTGAGATTGGGTGAGCGCGAGGGCGAAGTCAAGGGCGAGGTGGTTGGAGAACGAGAGGGAGAGGTAGAGCCTGACATGGGTGGAGAGCTGGATTTCGGGGAAGCGGTTGGAGAAGCTATGGACGATGGACATGTCGTCAACATTTTAGGGAAAAAAAACAGTGGGAGAGATGGGAAAAAAACGCACGTATATCTGAAGTAGGACTGGACATTATCGGGTTTTAATTCTGGGTGTGTTGTTGGTACAAGATCGAAAGGAGGAACGAAAGCAGTTGGAAGCAAAGAAAAGGGGAGAGAGAAAAAAATCACCAAGCCGTTGGAGATTTTTTATGAACAAGAAAAAAGCGTAATAACGTTCTGGGTGGAGCTCGAACTTCACGTGACTTTCCGGATCATCATAGCCACGTGTAACTCCCTTTTTTATCCTCGATCCGCTGATAAAGCCAATACAATCTCATCCCCTTCGAGCGACTAACGGAAAATTTTCACCAGGGACGTTGCTACTGCCACTAGGGGCACGGGACGAGCAGTCCGAGGTATCTGACCTTGTTCCCCGGGCAACCATACCAAAAATCCACCACAATCTGTTTATCTGTCTCATTGACAAGCCTGCATCAAACGGACCACCCAAGTTTCACAACGCACTACTGATCCTTACTGGCGGACTGAATGGGAAAAAGAGGATAGTTTGATAGATAGATGGAACTCTCTTCATGTAAAACAAGATGCCGTCGTAGATTCATTTGTTGTACTTTACCCAAGGACGCTCATAACGCTGTTTCTATAATATCAATTGTATAGAAAGTGGCTGTTCGCTTCTATCATTTCACTTGATGGTCACTTTTGCAACTTTCGTCTCGTCAACTGATTGATTGATATTGATATCCGCCGGAAGACCTCAGCTGTTCTCCACAGGTTCTTTTTTCTCTTCTACATACTTTTTTTTCGTTCACGAGTCCAAATACCAGGAACAGCCAACTCATTCAGAGGGAGGGGCCCAGACTCGAGAGATAACAAGTTCGTATTTGCCAAGATGCGTACGCTCATCAGCTGAGCTTTACTTTCACGCCCTTTCTTACACTGTCCCTTGGTTATCGGGGCGATAACGCGGGTCTTTATCAACGGACTAATTATAAAAACATATATCAAACAACAAGAAGCCAGTGCAGAGAGCAGTTAGATTGAATGGTTAGCACAGGACTCTTTTTTCTCAGCGTTCAACCATATTTAGATCCGCGCGCTATTTTATGTATGCGTTATCCTTTGATCATAACTTTTCTGACTCCTATAGATCCATGGCACCTTCGATTCTTCGTATCAACATATCAAAATGAACCCTTGTTATTAAAACAGATACATGCTCTACTTATATGAAGAAACGCATCTTTTCTACTTCCTTCGAGCTGTTGAACGCTTCGAAACACTAGTACTATGTACACCTACACAGCAAAAGTCGGAACTAATTATAATTAACGGCCTTGAAACGTCTAGCACGTAGTACATACTAACGCCTGAGTTTCATTTTGGGGCGGGCTTACAACAAATTAAGAAAAAAAGACATCCGTCGGAACTCTTACTTTTCTTTTTCCAACCTGAACACTTGATGATTTTGAAAAGAACGAAAAAAAAGAACACCAAAAACACTTTAGGCATATATCATACTTTCAGCACAGCAAGGACAAAAGAGAAAAGAGCCTCGAGAAGTTTTATTTCCCTCTAGCCGACTCGAACGACTGACCTCGTCATTATGTGGCGAAGGGTGACCAATCATTTGCTCATCTACGGCTCTATTTTGAATAGGCAAACGCGCCCAGGGCAGGCGTCCCCGGGCCGGGATGGATTACAAACGGGCATGCGAGCGACCGCTATACAAGTACAAGATACGAGAGACAGGAAAACTATAGTACACTAGTCGCAAATAAAGTAGACAAAAATAAAACAGATGTTACATTTGATAGTAAAACTACGGCCTGGAAGGCAGATACAATTTGAGCATTAAAAAGGGTGGGCGGGAGGGTAAGCGATGAAAAAACTCTGTATACAATGTTCAGTAACCGAGAAGAGGTGAATGATGTGCATAAAACGTACCTGGGTACAGCGGGCAGTGAGCGAGAAGAGCTGAAAGACTCGACACATCTGACCGCTGTACCCACATGACCGGAAAATTCCGATACTATGCCGAGCGCGGCTAGAAACTTGCACAGCGGTGCAGAGGATAAGTTGCGTGCGACGCAACTGAGTCGTTTAGCGAAACGACTTGGAGGCAGTATATGCACGAAGCGCCGTGCACCCCTTGAGTCCTGAGACTCACAAGTATTGATCTAGGTAAATTCAACATTTACCGTCAACCAATCATTTGCTCATCTACGGCTCTATTTTGAATAGGCAAACGCGCCCCAGGGCAGGCGTCCCCGGGCCGGGATGGATTACAAACGGGCATGCGAGCGACCGCTATGGAGCCTATGGAAGTATTGATGATGAAGATGATGATGGGAGCATGCCGTTGGTGAGAGAGGATTATTGGAGTAGGACAGCAGTGAGGAAAGTGGGATTTTTGCGGATGTAAATGTGAAAAGTTTCAGATGCCCAACGACCAGTGGCTTGAATGAGATGAATTGGGACGCCAATTTCTGCTAGTCCGGTAGCCACCAGAACGAATCGACTGACCAGCGATGTCTTGGCGGTTATATAACCTCTTCAGCCTATCCATGAACCAATATCGGGTG